GCAGCCTAGGAAAAGAGGGTGATTCTGGTGGGAGTCAAAAAGAAGACAGACAGGAAAAGTCAGGAACTTCTTAGAGATTACTTAAGTGTTGTGATTGGATTGTTGGTAGAAATATGAATGGTAAAGGCCATTATGATGAGGTCCTAGATGGAAATCAGAAGTAAAGCACTGGAGACTAAAGACCATCACTGTTACAAGGTGGTAAAGAATTTGGCTGAATTATCTCCATGTCTGAGGGCTTCAGGGAAGGCTGAATTTAAGAGATATACTAGGATAGCAGAGATTTCTAAGCAAAATATTGAAGGAGTTGTGTGGCTACATTTATTTATCTATCTATTTATTTAGAGACAGGGTCTCACTTTGTCGCTCAGGCTGGAGTGCAGTGGTGTGATCTTGGCTCTCTGTAGCCTCTCCCTCCCAGATTCAAGCAATGCTTGTACCTCAGCCTTGTGAGTAGCTAGGATTACATGTGTGTGCCACCACACTTGGCTAATTTTTGTATTTTTAGTAGAGACAGTGATTTGCCATGTTTGTCAGGCTGGCCTCGAACTTCTGACCTTAAGTGATCCACCTACCTTGGCCTCCCAAAGAGCTGGGATTACAGGTGCGAGCCACTGTGCCCAGCCTTTGTGGCTGCATACAGTAATATATGAGAAAAAGAGAAGTGATTTAAAGATGGAATTTATAATTTAAAAAGAATCAGGGCAAAGATATTTGGGAAATTCACAACCTGGTCATGTAAAGAGTAAAAAGGTCTTTAGCAGAGCAAACCAAGGATGTGTCCAAGTTACCATTTGCAAAAGAGAGTACCATGAATACAAAGGAGGCCGGGGCTCATTATTCTAAGTGATGTAACTCAGGAGTGGAAAACCAAGCATTACATTCACAGTCATAAATGGGAGCTAAGCCATGAGGTTGCAAAGGCATAAGAATGATACAACAGACTTTGGAGACTCGGGAGAACTGGTGGAAGTAGGGTGACAGATAAAAGACTACATTGGGTACAGTGCACACTGCTCAGGTAGTAGACACAACAGAATCTCAGAAATCACTATTAAAGAGCTTATACATGTAACCAAACACGACCTACTCCCCGCAAAACCTATTGAAATTTAAATAAATAAATAAATAAATAAAGGAGACTGATGCTATTTTTCAAAACAATGGGCAAAAGACCTCAAAGACATTTGACAGATTTTTGAGGCTGCATCTCCCAACACTGGCCCAGAGCAGGACCTTGATGCAGTTTCCAAAGGGGCGTCTGCAGGACCACCGCTGCTCTGTACAACCTAGGGACTCTGCTGCTTGAATTTCAGCACAGTGCCCCTTGGCCATCCCAGCCATGGCTCAGGTGGGCCTAGGTGCATCTTAACCCACAACTCTGGAATGTACCTACCTCAGAAGCCTTGGTGGCGTTCACGTGGTGTGTTAATTTTGCACATGCACAGAATGCAAGAGCTGTGGGGTCATGGTGGCCTTCACCTAGATTTCAAAGGTTATTATGGACAGCCTGGGGGTGCCCAGGCAGAGACTTGTTATAGCAGCAGAGCCACTGTGGTGAGCGTCCACTAGGGCAATGCCTATTGGTGCCATGGGAGTTGGGAAGCTCCAAGAGTCCAGAACTATAGGGCCACCAGTATGCAGCTTCTGTGTGGGAGAGCTGCACACACAGACTCCAACTTGTGAGAGCCACAGGAATGGGCTGCCCAAAGCCTTGAGGGCTCAACCCCTACCCCTGTGTGCTCAGAAGTCAGGACCCAGAGCCAAGGAGGACTACAGTAGAGCTTTAACATTTTATGTTGTTTTTCCTAATGGGTTTTTCCTTAGGACCAGTTACTGTTCTTACCTGTTTTTCCCCTTTGTAATGGAAATGTCTGTCATGCTTATCCCATTGTGTTTCGGAAACTCAAATAATGGAGGGAATTTGCCTCAGGGTGAATCATGCCTTGAGTCTCACTCATATCTGCTTTAGATGAGACTTTGGAGTTGGTGCTAGCAAGATTTAAGACTTTAGGGCTTGTATTAGTCTGTTTTCATACTGTTATAAAGAAATACCCAAGACTGGGTAATTTATGAATAAAAGAGGTTTAATTGACTTACAGTTCAGCATGGCTGGGGAGGCCTCAGGAAACTTACAATCATGGTGGAAGGCAGAGGGAAAGCATATTAGTTCGTTTTCATACTGCTAATAAAGACAAACCTGAGACTGGGTAATTTATAAAATAAAAGAAGTTTAATTGACTTACAGTTCCACATGGCCGGAAAGGCCTCACCATGGCAGAAGGTGAATGGGGAACAAAGTCACATCTTACAGAGTGGCAGGCAAGAGAGCTTGTGCAGGGGACCTCCCATTTAATGACTGCCATGAGAACAGTATGGGGAAAAGTGCCCCTGTGTGATTCAGTTATCTCCATCTGACCCTGACCTTGACACCTGGGGATTATTATAATTCATTGTAAGATTTGGGTTGGGGACACAGCCAGACCATATAAGGAAGCAAGGCACCTTCTTAACTAGGCAGCAGCAAGGAGCATGAATGCAGTAGGAACTACCAAACGCTTAGGAAATCATCAGATCTCATGAGAGCTCACAATCATCAGAATAACATGGGGAAAATTGCCACCTGATTCAATCACCTCCACCGGGTCTGTCCCTTGACACATGGGGATTACGGGGTTTAGAATTCAAGATGAGATTTTGCGTGGGGACACAGCCAAACCATATCAGGGCTATTGAGATGGAATTAATGTATTTTGCACATGAGAAAGACGTGAATTTTGGTGGCTAGAGCAAATGCCATGCTTTGAATGTGACCCTCAAAAAGCATGTGTGAAAGCTTAATTCTCAATGCAACACTGTTGGGAGGTTGGGCCTAAGGGGAGGTGTTTAGGTCATCAGGGCTCCACCCTCATGAATGGCCCAACACCAGTCATAAAAGGGCTTGAGGCTGCAAATTCAGCCTCTGGCTCTTTCACCCTCTCTGACTCTTGCCATCTGCCGTGGGGTGGTGGAGCAAGAGGGCTTTCATGAGATGCTGAAGCACCTTGATATCAGACTTCCCAGCCTCCAGAACTGGGAGAAGTAAATTTCTTTCCTTTATAAATTAGCTGGTTTGTGGCATTTTGTTATAGCAATACAAAGTGGACTAAGATGGGGGCTCCAGAAACACCCCCATGATGTGTAAGGTAAAACTTATTTGGGAAAATATTCTGACTCACCATGGTAGGCTGAATAATTATTTCCTTCCTCCCTCTGCCCCACCCCCACCACGAAATATATCTACGTCCTAATCCTCAGAACCTGTGACTGTTACCATATGTGGCAAATGGGGATTTTGCAGATGTGATGAAAAATCTTTCCATGAGGGCATTATCCTGGGATATCTGAGAGGGCCTAATAAAATCATAAGGATCCTTATAACCAGATGGCAGGAGATCAGAGTCAGCAGCAGGATATGGGATGACAACGGAAGAATTGGTAGATACACAAGGATGAGGCCAGGAGCCAAGGAATGCAGATAGCCTCTAGAAGCTAAAAAAAGGTAAGTAAAGGAGTTCTTCCTTGAAGTCTCCAGAAGGAATGGATCCCTGCTAACCCTTTGGATTTAGACTCTCAGGACTGTAAAACGATACATTTTTTTATTTGAAGCTACTCAATTTGTGATAATTTGTCATAGCAGCCATAAGTAACTTAAACACATACTGACTTTAAATGAATCTTTCAATCTATCTGTGATAAATTGTATTTTTCTAAAGATGGCTCAAAAACGTCTCCCATTCCACATTCCCTTCCGCAGTGTCTTTTTGCCACATCCTCATCAAGAGGTAGAATAAATCCCCACGATGCCCTACCCTTTTGAATCCGGGTGGATCCTAAGACCCCTTTGAACGACAGAATATGATAGAAGTGATACAATGTCCCATAACTGCCATGGCAGCTTTCACTTTCTCTCTCTTAGAAGCTAGCTGCCATGAAGGAAGTGCCACTTCAAGACCAGCATGCTAAGAGAAACACTCACATGTAGAACTTTGAAGCATGATCTATCACATGGAAAGAGAGATCCCAAAGAACATTAGCTGCATCTTGGAAGCAGACCCCTGCCCCAGCCATCCCGGTTGACTCCACCGGCAGCACAGACAAACAACCCAACCAAACTCTTTGCAAATATTTGACCCACAAATCATGAGAAAAATCTAATGATTATTTAATCTACTAATTTGTGGGGACGGGGTGTTGTTAACTCGGCAAAAGCTAAATAAAACACCATCTTTTTTATCGTACGCTGGTGACTCTGAACAATGCAGTAATACAGAGTGTCTTTAGTGACTATTAAGAAGTATATTTTTGCCAATAAATAACTCCTAGTTACTTTAAAGTTCCAAAGTATTTCATCTTTACAATTTCAGCTGTGATTTCTTAGTTTGCTAGCAATATCTATCAAGTTACTATCTCTGATTTCACAGGGTTATAATGAAGAATGAAAGGAATGAAGGAAACCTGCTTTGTAATATAGAAGCATTATACAAATATTATTGTATTAATCTCAGGGCAACATTAGAAGAATTGGAAGTAGCTTATAGCAAGTAGAAACACTAACTGGCTCTATTGACTTAATTATATACTTTACAACTCAGACTCTGGTCAATAGATTTGAGGGTAATATCTTATTTATGGTATGGAATTAAAAACATTGACTTATATGACAATACGTTTCTGTGCTGAACCAAGGTATCTTTCACTTCTGACTTTAAGGCTCTTCTCCAGAGAGAAGAAGTTGTTACAGACCTATTTTTTATAATTCTGTATCTGTTGCCATCTTGCTTGTAGATTTTTAATTTTTCAGACAAGTAGATGGAAAGATTTAGTGTTGCATTTTGAAGACTGAATCTTGTGAAACCACAGGAGCATAACTATCCTACCTCTTGGGACAGTTCCTACCATGATTTCAGATAAAGTATGTGTGTCTACTCTAAGAAGATTGTGTTTGTTTTAATTTCCAGTTTGTCTTCGCTCTTTTCAAAGTAGTGCATTCACTGCCGCACGTCAGTCAACTAACGCTTATCCTGACCTAAGAAGCTGTGTCAATGGTAAGCATGTCTACCATCGATTTAAAAACAAAACAAACAAAAACTCTGTAAATAAAGTATGCCCATGCTAATATAAACTGATGTTTAAAAATCAGGAAATGAGCCTTTGTGGGTTGTATGCCCGGCAAGAAAGTATTTTCAAATGGCGTTTAAAATACTTGTTTATAATTGTTAATGCTGCTGTATTACTCGAAATGACTTTTTTGCCTAATGTTTAAACTGAACAGTTTTCTTTGTTTAGTAAGCAAAGGTCACTGACTCCAGAATTTTTATTCCCGATAGCTTTATTTTGGCTGTTGTTGCATAATCATGTAGTGTGACTAAATGTTGCGGTAGATTAACAGGTCAAAGTAGAGCCATGCTTATTCTAACTTTTTGGCATCGATAATATAAACATGGAAAATGTTATATGAACAAATTAGCTTCCTTGCTTTGAAGTTCTCAAGGGGCCTAATGATAATTATGGTAGAATTTTTTTTTTTTTTTTGAGACAGAGTCTTGTTCTGTCACCAGGCTAGAGTGCAGTGGCGAAATCTCGGCTCACTGGAACCTCCGCCTCCCGGGTTCAGGCAATTCTCCTGCCTCAGCCTCCCGAGTAGCTGGGACTACAGGCGCGTGCCACAACGCCCGGCTAATTTTTGTATTTTTAGTAGAGACGGGGTTTCACCATGTTGACCAGGATGGTCTTGATCTCTTGACCTCGTGATCCACCCGCCTCGGCCTCCCAAAGTGCTGGGATTACAGGCGTGAGCCACTGCACCTGGCTATTTTTGACTCTTTTTGGGGAAATTGGGAAATTAGTAAAAGTAAATGGTACAGCTGCAAGATATTAATTATGATTTTTATTCAGAGAATATTTTACATACAGCATTGACATTCTGTAGATATTCATTTTTCTATGTTTTTCTCTAATTTAAAGTGCTTGCTATTATACAGGTAGAACAGTTTAAACACATTTAATTATTTAATTCATATTTATCTTTTCTTTTCTTTTTTTTTTTTTTTTTTTTGAAACAGGGTTTCGCTCTTTTTACCCAGGCTGGAGTGCAATGGCGCGATCTCGGCTCATCGCAACCTCCGCCTCCTGGGTTCAGGCAATTCTCCTGCCTCAGCCTCCTGAGTAGCTGGGATTACAGGCACGCACCACCATGCCCAGCTAATTTTTTGTATTTTTAGTAGAGACGGGGTTTCACCATGTAGACCAGGATGGTCTCGATCTCTTGACCTCGTGATCCAGCCGCCTCGGCCTCCCAAAGTGCTGGGATTACAGGCTTGAGCCACCACGCCAGGCCACTATCTTTTCTTAAAATTTACTGAAGAACAGAATAATTTTGATAATAATTTTCTATTCATTTGTTTTCTATGATTTTTAGCTAATACGTAACGTATTGCCACTTTTCAAGAAACTTGATTCTATGAACACTTTAAAAAAAACCTGTAGAATTATTTAGGCATTAGCTAGGTTGGTTATTTATTTATTTATTTATCAAGCAACAGAAATTTTCTCTGGCTAACATAAGCAAAGAGATAGACGTATTGAAAGTATTGGGAGTATTTAAGTATTGGAAGGATGGGAAGAACGCGTACAGTTGACTGGGAAGATTGAGAAGCTGGTGAGGAAGTGTGCAGAAACCACGGGACTGTTTGCAATGTCTCATGAGGGGACAGAGATTACAAATAAATAATAAAACAAATGGCATGTCATTATCCATATTGATAAAGTGCTGTGATATTTTAGGAAGAAAATAAACAAGGCACTATAGTAGAGCTTTACTTTGTACCTTTTTTGTTTTTGAGACAAGCTCTCGCTCTGTTGCCTAGGCTGGAGTGCAATGGTGCAATCATGGCTCACTGCAGCCTCAGCATCCTAGGTTCAAGCATTCTTCCTGCCTCAGCGTCCTAAGTAGCTGGGACTATAGGCACATGCCATCACTCCTGGCTAATTTATTTTTTAAAGAGATGGGATCTTGGGTGTGTTGTCTATGCTGGTCTTAGACTCTTGGCCTCAAGCAGTCCTACCTGGGCCTCCCAAAGTGCTAGGATTACAGGCATGAAACACCATTCCAGGTCCTACTTTGTATTTTTTAATATTGCTATTTTTTTCTGGTCATATCCCTTATTCTAAAATCTATCTTATATTAATATAGTCACTCTGGCTTTCTTTTGATTAGTGTTTTCATGGTTTATTTTTCCATCCATTATCTTTGAACATACCAGTGTGTTTATATTTCAAGTGAATGTCTTTAGGGTCTTGCTCTTTTCTCCAGTCTGACAATCTCTTTTAATTGGAATGTTAGACTATGGACATTTACATCTAATGTTACCATTGACGATGGCTAAAGTCTGTTAATCCCATCTGTTCTTTGTTTTTTCTTTTCCTACTGCAGTTGTATTGATTGAGGTTTTTTTGGGGGAGCTGATTCCATTTGTCTCTGCTATTATTAATTATACTTCTGAAACTTCTTTGACTCTTTTCCTTCCTTCCTTTCTTCCTCCCTCTTTCTTTCTTTCTCTCTTTCTTTCTTTCTTTCTTTCTTTCTTTCTTTCTTTCTTTCTTTCTTTCTTTCTTTCTTTCTTTCTTTCCTTCTTTCTTTCTTTTTCTTTCTTTCTCTCTCTCTTTCTCTCTCTCTCTTTCTTTCTTTCTTTCTCTCTCTCTCTCTTTCTTTCTTTCTTTCTTTTATCTCTCTCTCTCTCTGTCTCTCTCTCTGGCTAATTTTTAAATTTGTCTCTAGAGATAGGGTCTCACTTTGTTGCATTGGCTTCAAGTAATCTTTTTGCCTTGGCCTTCCAAAGTGCTGGGATTATAGGCATGAGCCACTGTGCCAGACCTCACTTCTACTATATTTTTGTGCTGTTTCTGCCTTACATTTTAATATTATACATTATAAACTCCATGATATGTTAATTTGTAAGTAGATTATCAAATGAGAAAATACGATTTTAATGTTTTATTTATTTATTTTTGAGACAGACTCTTGTGCAATCACCCAAGCTGGTGTGCAGTGGTACAATCTCAGCTCACTGCAACCTCTGCCTGCTGGATTCAGATGATTCTTTTGCCTCAGCCTCATGAGTAGCTGGGATTACAGGCCTGGCTAATTTTTTTTGTATTTTTAGTAGAGACAGAGTTTTGTTATGTTGCTTAGGCTGGTCTTGAATTCCTGACCTGAAGTGATCCACCCACCTTGGCTTCCCAAAGTGCTGGGATTGCAGGCATGAGCCACTGGCACCTGACCCAGAAAATACTGTTCTGTATTTTCTCATATGTTTACCATTTCTGGCATTCCGCGTTCTTTTTTGTGGATTCACATTTCCATCTGGCAACATATTTTTTCTGCCTGAAGAAATTCCTTTAATATTTCTTATACTACATATCTGATGAAGATGGATTTTTTTCATATTTTTAATTCAAAAAAATACTGTATTGCCCTTATTTTTGGGAGATATTTTTATTGGCTAAAGACTTCCATGTTGATAGTATTCTTTCAGTATGTCAAAGATGTCAGCCAGGTGCGGTGGCACACACTTGTAATCTCAGCACGTTGGGAGGCCAAGGCGGGTGGATCACGAGATCAGGAGTTCAAGGCCAGCCTGACCAACGTGCTGAAACCCCATCTCCACTAAAAATACAAAAATTAGCTGGGCATGGTGGCGCATGCCTGTAATCCCAGCTACTCAGGAAGCTGAGGCAGGAGAATTGCTTGAACTGGGACCCAGGAGGCGGAAGTTGCAGTGAGCTAAGGTCGTGCCCCTGCACTTCAGCCTGGGATACAGAGAGAGACTCCATCTCAAAAAAAAAAAAAAAAAAAAAAAAAAAAAAAAAAAAAAAAAAA